TGCCCCGGAGCCGGCTGTAGGTACAGACGCTGAGCGTGGCGGCCAGGAGCTCCTGGGTACTGGGGCAGGTGCAGCGCTGGGGAGGGGCCTTGCCCTGCCTGGTCGGATCATGTGCGTGGGATTGGGGAACTGGTGCTCTGGTGCTGACGGCCCCATGAAGCCCCTCTGCCCCCCCAGGGTTCCCATCCTCTCCCAGCTGCCAGGGCTTTCCATTCCCCATCCCCCAGGTCCTCCTGCCTCCAGTCCCCCGGCTCCTCACCCACCTGCTCCCTGACTCCCACGGTCCCCATCCTCTTTCCCCCAACTCCCCCCTCCTCCTGGGGTCCCCTCTCCTCTGGCCTGAGTTGCTCACCGTCCTGGCTGCAGGACTGTGGCCCAGGCCCAGGGGCTTACACCCGGGCAGACTGGCTTAAGGAGCTCTGGCTGGTCAAAGGAGCCCGGCTGTGGCCAACAGGTACCAGGGCTGGGCTGGGCCCTGACAGGGTTGCACGTACCGCACGCCCCACCCAGGCCGGAATGTGCCACAGAGACCTTTAGGGGATGCCCTGTGGCCTGGGTGGGGGAACCAGCCAAACCCCATTGGATCTGCTCTGCGCACATGGTGGAACTGCCCCCTCGGAGCCAGGCTGCGTGGGGCATCTCAGCTCTAGTGCCCGCTGGCCCTGAGGGACGTGAATGAGCCCTGTGCTCCAGGGCCGTGAGCAGCCAGGCCTGCCCCACGGAGCTCTCGGCAGCGGGAGCATGGGGGCCTGTGCTCGTGGCACCAATAAACGTGCTGACAAAACCGAATTGGGTGTGTAGTAACCAGCAAGTGGGTTGCCCTAGCCTGGACTGGGATCTCTGGGTCATGCCCTGGGGCAGATCTGGCCCCTCCCCCTTTGTCTCTGGGGCTGTAGGACCTGGATAGAGGATCTGACTCACCCTTGCCTCGCCTTTGAAATGGATGCATCTCATCAGCCTGGCCTGGCTCTCCTGAGTGGCAGCCCAGTGCTCTCACCACTGTGCCGTGCTGCCCTCCACATGGGATTTCCTCTGGCTGCTGACACAGCATCCAGCAGCTCTTCTTTCTATGGGATCCAAGAGACACTTTGCTTGGCATCCCGTGTTGGGACTAGTTGGGGATACTGAGGCACAGAGAGGCGGAGCTGGGTTCCTCCTGGGCCTGCTCTGGGGCACAGCGACTCAGCTGCTTCTCTGGAATAGTGGGGAGGGGGGGTTTGGCAGATGGGCCTGTGTGGAGAGTTGTGCCCTGAATGGATCCAGGCTCCCCCACCTCTGTGCAGCGGGTGTCCTCATGGAGTGGCGCTGGCATCTCTCAGCTGGCCAGTCGTGGCTGCCTTAGCCCCACAAACGTGTCTGTGCCTGGGACACTTCCCAAGGCCCCGCGCTGCCACTCGCAGTGGCCACAGATCGCAAAGCGCTTGCAATAGGCAGCAAGGAAACTGAGGCATGAGAAGGGGAAGCCCAAGGGTGACCCACAAACCAGCATCGGGTCTCCTTGGTCCCAGCCCTGTGCTCTGGCACCTGGCGTTCCCCAAAGGGAAGGGAAGGGAATAGCTGCCTTTCCTGCAAGGGGGTTGGGCCTCCTTGTCGCGGAGCGTGGCTGGGGCATATGGCCAAATGCTCCATCTGTCACGTGCTCCTGTGATGGGCTCTGCAGGGGGCCGGGAGCTCTGGGAGGCAGGCACCTTTGGGTGCCATTTACCAATCAGCGATTACAGCCCAAGTGTCTGAGCCAGACCCTGCCCCCAGCTGTGTCGCTGTGGCCTGCATGGACCTTCAGATCCTGCCACGTCAGTCTCCATTTTGAACCAGAAAGGGCATGGCCAGCCTCGTGGTTGTGAGGAAACCCGGACAATGTGAGCTGTGGGCTGGCACTGCCTGCCTGAGTCTGCAGAGCCTGGAGCCAGCGCTGAGAGCTGCCAGCGCCACGTGGATCCCAGGGGACACTGACAGCGAAACCCTCGATGGCACTGAGGGTCCACGTCTGGTGCCACAATGCAGTTCTTTCAGGTGAGGGGATCCAAGCGTGGGGCAGAGCACAACACCCGGCCACGTTGCTTCCCAGCCTCCTGCAAGGCAGTCCCACCTCCAGGCTACAGTAGGGGAAACTGAGGCATGGAGCAGGGGAGGTCGGGGAGTCTGGCAGAGAGGGGCCTGGAATCCTGGTTCCTGTTTCGCTCCCCCCCAGACTCAGCTGCCAGTG